ACCTGACCTGCACGAGTTCGTGTTCTCTAAAACCGAAGAATGAATTTTAGGAACAAATGGAGGTTATGAGCAGAATATATTTATTGAGGAAAGAAACCTCCTGTCTGAGAGATGGACATGAGGGGGGCCTGAGTGGGTAGTTCCCCCACCATACTCCATTTACCTATACTCTGCAGCTTATTCTTCATTATGACTGAGTAGTACTGCAATATCTATCTATCTATCTATCTATCTATCCATCCATCCATCCATCCATCCATCCATCTATCACATCACATCTTTTTTTATCCATTTCTCAGTTGGCTGGCATTTGGGCTATTTCCAAGATTTAGCTGTTACAAACTGTGCTACTATAAACATGGGGGCATACATAACGCTATGGTATGATGCTTTTCATTCTTCTGGAAAAATACCCAGAAGGGAAACAGCTAAGCCAAATTGGACCTCTAATCATAGTTTTTTGAGGATCTCCACACTGATTCCTCAGTCATTGTACCAGTCTACACTTCTACCAATAGTGGAAAAAGATTCTTTTCCCCCACAACCCTGCAGCACCTGTTTTTTTGTTTTGTTTTTTTGGTGGAACTGGGGATTGAACTCAGGCCCTTGCATTTGCCAGGGAAGCGCTTATTCCACTGAGCCATCTCCCTGGCCCTTGCAGCATCTGTTATTGGTTGATTTTTTTTTCTTTTTAAAATTTGTATTGTTTACCAACAACTTGTAGTAATGCTCACAAGGTATTCAAGCATTTTTGTTTTCAAAACAAGCTTTATACTAGCCTTTGGCTATGGGAGAAATTTTTATTTTTTATTTTATTTTATTTTATTTTATCCAGGAATCAAACTCAGGACCTGGAGCTTGCCAGGCAGGAGTTGTGCTATTGAACTACATCTTTGGCTTCTCAAGCAATTTTTGAATTAATGGATTAGCCCACGGATCACATAAAATGTAATGTTCTTAGCCCTGATACAACTAACTCTCACAGAACTCCCCGTTCTTTCAATTGTGTATATCGGGGAATGTACACTTCAGGTTAGATTAGTTCTGCTTTAATACCAAACAAGTATTCCCTAGTTCAATTACCCACGTGTATTCAGGCTTCTTCCTGAGAAGAGCTACATATCACCCTTTGTATCCAGTATGTACTCTTGAAAACAAGTCTTCCTTCAATATAGTGGATACTTCATAAATGTTAAAAGATATTGATTGATTTCTTGATGATAGCCACTCTTTCTGGGGTGAGATGAAATTTCAGTGTTTCTTTAATTTGTATCTCTCAAATGATGTTGAACATTTTTTCTTTTTTAAAAAATGTATTTAGTACTGGGTATACAGGGTCTTATAACACAGATTGGACTTGTAGTAATGCTCCTGGTTTGAGCCTCCCAAGTGCTGGGATTACAGGTGCACGCCACCATGCCCAGTCTCTGTCATGAGCTCAGCGGGGCTGGCATGGCATGCTGGGAATCAAACCCCAGTCCCTGCGTCTGCCTAAGCAGGCACTTTAATCCACTGAGCTATCTGCCCAGACCTTTCATTTTTCTATATATTTACTTGCCATTTGTATTTCTTCACCTGAGAAGTATGTATTCATTTCAAATGCACATGGTTTTAAAATTTAATTTATTAATTAATTGATGTAGGGTCTTGCACACAACTTGGACTTGAAGTGATCTTCCTGGATCAGCCTTCTCAGTGCTGGGATTACAGGTGTGTGCCACCACACCTGGTTTTGGTGGCCTGCAGAGCATGCCTGAGGTTCAAGGGCAGGCACAGCATGTGGTACTAGGCATCACACCCAGGTCCTTGTCCTTCTCAGGCAGGCATTTAGACCACTGACCTACTCCAGGTGTGTATTTTTGATTGTGTCTTTGAATTTTGGGAGAGTCTGATTTTTTTCAGTTCTTTGTATGTTCAAAATAGAAGTCCTCTGTCTGAGGGACAACTTTTCTTTTTTTAGGTACCAGGGATTGAACTCAGGCCCTTGTGCTTACCATGCAGGTGCTTATGCTACTGAGCTATATCCCTGGCCCTTTGAGGGACAACTGGCTAATTTCCCCCCCAATTTGTGATTTGTGGGTTTTCTTTTTCTTTTGTTGTGCAAAAGCTTTTAAATGAGGTGAGATCCCATTTGTTGATACTGTGTAACATTCCTCTTCCAGTCTGGCTTTTGTTCATAAAGTACCTGTCTGTACCTATGTCTTTGAGATTTCTACCTATTTTTCATCCAGTAAATTTAGTGTCTACTAATACTTAGATCTTTGATCAATTTTTGACTTCAGTGTACAGTGATAGACTTGGGTCTACTTTTAGTCTTCCACATGTGGAAACCCAGGTTTTCCAGCAACTTTTGTTACAGAGGCTATCTTTTGTCCAGTGAACATGTTTGGCCCCTTTGTCAGAGATATGGTGGCTGAGTGTTTGGGGTTGCTTCTGCCTCTTCAGATTCTACTGAGCCCAAGCTGTTTATTTTTTCCTCATATACTATGTTGCTTTTTACTACAGTAGCTTTGTAGTATAATTTCAGGTCTGATTGTGATGTCTCCTGACTTGCCATTGTTGCCCAGAACTGCTTTTGCTATTCTAGGTCTCTTCTGGCTCCAAATGAATTTCAGGAGTGTTTTCTCTAGATCTGTGAGGTATGCTAATGGCATTTTGCATTCAATCTGTATAGTAGTTTTGGGAATACGGCCATTTTCACTCTGTTGGTTTTCTTTTTAAATATTTATTTATTTTTATTTATTACA